GGACTGTAGCCCCTGTTGTAATAACACTGGTATTGTGTACTTGTAGCACTTTCTTTGCTGATCAGGTATTAGCATTGTGAGCCACAATCCCACTTTCCTAAAACACTTCTTGCCATTGAGTTCAGAGGCCTTTAAAAAGGATTTTAAAAATCTTGTCAAGACCGAGCAGCACCTGGAAACTTGCTGAGCAACGGGAAAGATTGTCTCAAGGTATGTTGTAAAGAGTTGTACTCCACCAGCTCAGCCCTCCAATACTATGACCATTTCCAAGACCCCACTGGCTGCCCACCCATCACTGACCCTGGGGCTGTGGGAGACGGGCTGGGGACCGGAAGGCACTGCTTGAGAAGATGATGGATCAACACAGGATGCAGAGGATAGAACTGCCGGAGATCCAGTTCTCTTGAAGGAGTCCCGAGGACGCAGATGGTTTTAAGACGGTCCTCTTTCCACAGAACTTGTGTAAATTGGGAAAACGAAAAAGTCTGGATCTGCTGTTGAAGACAGCTGTTGAAATGTTAAACACTGATTTTTTGTGTGAAAACAAGAAAGCTACTGTAATTAAATAAGATGACTGTGAAGTTGTTTGCCACCTGGAACCTTTTTTTTCCCCAAAAAAACCCGATACCTATTTTGTCGTTTGGTGAAACGCCACTGCTCTGTGGCAGCAGCCTGTATGCAGCAAGCAGGTAATGTCTAATACTATACCTCTCAAGTCTGTCTCTACAATTAGACAGCTCTACAACCAAGAGCTTGTAGTCCAGCTGTGGCCAGTCGATCCTTCTGTTCAGCCCTTCTACAGATGCAAGGTGCTGTCCTGTAGAACCAGCTGTTAACCTGAAACCCAGGATAGCGAAGCCTGGTTGGCACTAGGACAACTTTCCACAGGCCAGAAGACTTGTCATACAGTACATCTCAGAGCAGAGCAGAGACAAGCGGACTGCCCTCTACACTGCGATTGGAGAGACGCATATTGTCGTCCAGAACGTCAAAATCCAGCCTTTGTGGCTGTAGATCCGACTGGAGGCCGGTCTTCCCAGATAATTCCCAGTCTGCCTTACAGTTAACCAGGCCTCTTGCCCCCTTCAGAAGCTTCTTCCTCTCGTCAGTGGAGGGGAGGACAGAAAGAGGCAAGAGGACCCCACCTTCAAACACCAAGCCTACTCACCCCTGTGAAACTCATACAGACTTCAAGTCCAGGAAAGGAGAAGAAATGCAACACACACAGCATCCGAAACCCTACGCAGCAGAGAACAGTTTTGTAATGGTAATCGAAATAGGAATTTTCAGATACTAAGATTTCATACTTTAGCACTTTTTGTGTTTAAACACCCAAATTCTCTTCATAGTGCGCCTCCCCACCTTCTGCCTCTTGTAAACGTCCTCTAAGCTTACTGAACTTGCCAGCCATTTTGAGAAGGACACTTTGACCCACTCCCAGCAGTTAAGGGCATAGTTTCTGATATTTACTGAACGTCATTTTGAGAGAGCCAAGCAAAACCTCTTGTTAACATTTCTAGGGTGGCATATCCAGGCAGACATGGCTTCCCTATCATTTATCCTCCCGCAGGGGTCCAGGATAAGACATGATGAAAACAGCAGCCATGTTGTGAAGGTCAGACGAGCAGACTGCCTTACTGCACTTGCGATGATGTCATGCGCACCCTTACGATATCTTTACAGGTCAAAGTGAGAATCGTGTCTGATTGCAAACCCCTCCGCTCTTCCAGCAGTGCCCCACTCTTGCCCTCTCTGTGAAGTTTTAGGGGTACCCCTAAATCCTAGTAGAGCACCACCACCTTACAACACATGATGCATCTCCCACAATGCCCACACTTGAGACACAGATGAGGCTGCCTGCAAGGCGAGGGCTGACGTCCACTGTGCTGAACCTCGACAGGTGTCTCACAGAGAGCTGCTGTCCGTGGACGAGAGCTCACTCTGGGCAAGGAGGAAGGGCGAGGAAGACTACACAGGAAGCAGAGATAGGATGCAGCAGCATTCGATTACAGTCGGCTTCAGAGCAATTCAGCCAGTCAAAGCACAACACAGCTCAAGAGAATGTGACAACACTGGCTTCTTTTAAACATTATATCCATGAAACCCCAGAGCGGCGCAAGATCATCAAAAATAACAAACAGCACATATGAAATTCACATTTTTACTGCCTTAGGGTGCCATTTTAGTCTGTTACAAAAAAATAAAATAAATTACAATACAGTGGTTATTAAAAACACCTGTGAAATCTTTTAATTCTCAAAATGATTTTTAAACCCTCTAAAAACCCACCACTCGTATGCTGAATTAATTCACAAGTTTTTCTGGTGTCCAAAAGAAGGTTTAACGAAACGTTAAACTTCCCCTCTGGCTCATTCGGGTCCCTCGCTCTCCCTTCTTCACTCCCGTCTGCCCTTCAGTTTCCTCCTCGCGCTCCGGCGACGCAGGCCCGAGTTCGCCCCCCACACTCGCGATCGAGCGTCCGGGGAAAAAACATCTGCCGGCACAAGGTGTCGGGGTCGGTCTGGTTCTCTTCTCCTCCTTGTAAATGTCTCATCGGAAAACGACACCCGGAGCGTGTCGGGACTATACACGTTATTAAAGTGGAAATGTAGGAACCGTGCAAAGCCTCGGGAGCTGGACTAGAGCAGTGCAAGCTCACATGCTCGGCCTGAAGAAAAACGCTGCCGCGTAGCCCTGCCGGCACAGCAGGAAGCAACTCCCGGCCAAAGCTGTGTTTTCTGCACAGACTGTTTCACCGTCACATTGCACAAACGAGGCAGGCAACTCCAGTCACACGCCCCCACTGCACAGCAAAGCACCCTATGTCCCAAATGCTGGCTCGATTCGTGAATCACCAGTACCGGGGTCTGTGGCAATACTGCATCGTAATGAGTCTCCCAGTCTTTCAGCTCCATCGCGTGTGGAGTGGGGTTTGGCAGAAGCTGTGCTTGAACAGACTCTCACATCCTCAGCAGGGCGCCCCTCCTGGGGCCCAGGTAATCACAGTGCAGCAGAAACAGACTGGAGTTACAGCAGCTAGCAGAGTCCCGGGTGTGAAAAGCCAAGAACTGTAATCTCTCCTTGCTGAGCAGAAAGATTATCCAAATGTGCAGAGAGACTCAGAGATGCTCTCAGGTCTTCCAAGGGCTTAATTGCGAAGCAAATCCTACTACAAAAGTAAATTATTAATTATTATTATTATTATTATTATTAAATACACGCAGGGATAAAAAGCGTTACTATATGTCTTCTGTTGGTGTTTAGCGCCACCATTTTTAATCTGTTTCATGAAGATTCCCTACAGATAAAAGCTTTATACACAGAAAACATGGGACATGTTACACAGCTTTAATACTGATCAAATACGGATCACACTGTATTTATTAATTCCCTAAGTAACTGCATTCTTAATAATAATAATGATAATAATAAATTCTCTTTTCCTTCATGTCTCTGTTTTAAGAGGTCAGGCGGAGTCTTTTAATTCTCATGAATACTGACATGGCTTAGCATTTTCACAAACCCATCCTCACACACACTGACAATCACTGTGGCTGCAGAAATAAACCATTTCATTCCATAACTAGCAAAGAAAACAGGAAAACTGAAAGTGTGGGCATGCCCCGTCTCTCTCTTTTGCTCTACCTTCTCTTCCCTACCTGTCCGCGTGCCTGTATATCTGACCGAGACTGTCTGTCTGTGTGCCTGTATGTCTCAGCCTGCCTGTCTGTGTGCCTGTATATCTGACCGAGTCTGCCTATGTGCCTGTCTATCTCAGTCTGTCTGTCCATGTGCCTGTATATCTGACTGAGTCTGCCTATCTATCTCAGCCTGCCTGTCTGTGTGCCTGTATATCTGAACGAGTCTATGTGCCTGTATGTCTCAGTCTGCCTGTCTGTGTGCCTGTATGTCTCAGTCTGCCTGTCTGTGTGCCTGTATATCTGAACGAGTCTGCCTGTCTATCTCAGTCTGTCTGTCCATGTGCCTGTATCTCTGAACGAATCTATGTGCCTGTATGTCTCAGTCAGCCTGTCCATGTGCCTGTATATCTGACCGAGTCTGCCTGTCTGTGGACCTGTCTATCTGACCGAGTCTGCCTGTCTGTGGACCTGTCTATCTGACCGAGTCTGCCTGTCTATGTGCCTGTATGTCTCAGTCTGCCTGTGTGTGGACTTGTTTATCTGAGTGAGTCTGACTGTCTGTGTGCCTGTATATCGCTCTGTCTATGTGTCTATTTCAGTCTGCCCAAGTCTGTCTGTGTGCCCATAAATCTGACTGATTCTGTATTTCTGTGTCTGTTGTGTCTCTCTGTGTCTTCTACGTCTAACTGGTGCCCGATTCCCTTGTCTCTCTGTATTTTGCCTTGCGTAAGCAGTTCAGGGGAAACAATCCAGTGAGAATAGAGGGGTACTGAGGGGTTGGCATAGCACTTTGCTCCAGTGACCTTTACAATCTGCAGGTTTCAAGGGTGTATTTTATAAGTAGCTACTGGATCAAACCTGAGAGATTCTTTTTTGACCCATTAACAAGACTCCCATTATAATGCAGTTTTATGCATTATGTGCTTTAGGAGCTGCAGTCTCCAACGAAGTACCAACGAAGCAGAAAAGCACACATATACATGTATACACGCATACATATACACACACAAGTATATCGAAATACTGTAACTTCACAGGTAACTCCAGGCGAATTTACTTTAAATAAGGGAAAAAGCAGAACATATCCAGCATCTGATGTTAGCTCACACACGAGAGCCTGCAGCCCGGACTTCCAATGGAAATGCATCAAACTGTAGTGCAATGGGAGCGAAGCCGGGAAAGGACCAAGTCATTGAAAATCAGGTTGGGATGAAATGCAGATGTGGCTCCAGCCCATCAGGCTTAGATGGACCCTTCCTGCACAAACACACGCCCACTCTCATTCGCTTTCTCTGTCTGCCAAAGTCCTGAAATATTTACTGTCACACTAAGCTTACACAGGGTTTTTTTTTAAAACAGGATAACAACGCAGTGAACTTGGAAACCATCAGTAATGCATTCAGAATTTAGAAGCCCCCACTCCAGGAGTTTGTTTTTCTTTATTTTTTTGTACAAGTGCAGTAAAATAAGGCTGCAGACGTTTCATGAATATGGCCCTCTTTCCCTCGGTGTCTCTCATTCCCTCTCTCACTCTTTCATTCCCTCTCACTCTCTCGCTCTCTC